TTTCTCATTGCCATGTAGTACTCCATGGTATAGATAAACCACATCTTCCCTCCCGTTTTGGTTTTATTTTTCAGTATTACTTTGGCCACTCGGGGTCTTTTGTGGTTCCATACAAATTTTTGGATAGTTTGTTCTAGTTTAGAGAAGTATGCTGGTGCAATTTTGATATCTTCACACAATTTCTAATTCCCAGATTACCAAGACAATAACCTCAACATTACTAATCTGAAAAAAATGATAACATAAATACTAAACAACGTGCTACTTTACCTATATGACAAAGCTGGTACACAGGGTACAAACAAACCATTTGCCAAGATACTAAAATATTTTCAAATCTGTTGGTATAATGCTGCTGCTCTACACACCAGGATCCCTATCCCAGAATCTTCCAGACCTCTATCACAGCAGGGTCTCCTGAATGTTTTTCCAGTGCTGTGGCCTCTGCCAATTCTGGTTGCTAAATATTTAAATGTCACCCCTGTACACTTGCACATGTGCCATAACAAGGCAGGAAAAGAGCCTTTTATTTGAGGGAGGAAATTCAGTGAAATGATGCTGAGATAGAATAATAGGGCCACTCAGTAGCTATTCCCTGTAGGTTCCCAGCAACAACCAGACCATCAGCTCAGAAGCCATCAGACGATGACATGCAAAATGTTCTGTGAAGTTTATTTGTCTGATTGTTTAAATACACAGTAATCTTTTCAACTGTTTTTGGCTGTGGTTGGGTAGCTTTCTCTTTTTTCACCTGAACGGAATCACAAGTCCCTTACGTCTTGGTGAATCCAGAAGGTGCATATTAATCCAGATCTTCAGTCTTCACTAATGGAGCCTTCTTCTCACAAATCCAAGAAATTTCAGCACTGCAGCGGGAAATGTAAATCTTTCCTTTCTGAAAATAGGCACATCCTTTGGATCCATTGATCTGGGCATATTCTATAGTGCTGAATCTGGAAATTCATCCATTTAAAATTAATGACACATTTCATATTTGAAATTTGATCACAGTTCAGTGTTCTCAGTAACCAAAAACCATCTATCTGAACTTTGAGAGACTTCTGTTTCCACAACATATTGAAGTTCTTCAAGCTGGCATATCTGAGTTTTTCATTTCAAGTTCATCATAATCCCAGATGGAATTATTTAAGCAGGGTACTTAAATGCTGGGTTGACAATTTCTATCCTCTCCATTAACATAGTAAAAACTACCCAGCTCATATTTTATTAGAAGCACCAGGATTTCTTTACTTTGGAACTTTATGAAGAAAAGCAGACAAGTGAAATCACATTCTGGGTGGGGAACTATTACATTTTATTATGCACAAGTATAATTTTGTGTATATATAATTTTGCATTATACACACACACACACACACACACACACACACACACACACACGGTGAAGAAAGAACTAGATAAGGGTTAAGGGAAAACATGAATGACTCCATAGATGTGGTTCTGATATCGGTCCCTAGTTCCTCCATAAGGAATTGGTGATAACTCTCAATAATGTCACCTAATTGTGTCATCTAAATGTCATCTAAAAGTGTAATCTAATCAGGTCTCAACCTCCTGTGTGCTTTTTTACTCAAATGATCTGCATACACTGCAGGATTCTTTTCTTACTTCAGGGATGGGCTTACCAAATCTTCCTCTTGGCGTTCATGCTTGCTGAGATTAGCCTTACTCAGTAGGACTTGGCTGTGTGATTCTGAAGCTCACTCCCACCACCCTGTGTGATGATAGCCACAGCTCTGAGGGGCATCAGTGACCTCAGACTTGGTACCTTTCTGCAGGGACCACCTCCTCCATATTTTAACCAGAAGTGAGTGGAGAGACCTGGGATAATGGAAACTCCTTTGGGAGAAAAGACTCATCTTCGTAAAGTCCAACAACACTTCTGGAGTATGATGGCATACTCTATAAACACTCAGTCTAGCAGCAATACCCCAGATTAGTGTATAATTATCTCATGCCCAATATGGCTCCATTTACAAAGAAGTGACTATCATTTTTGTCTGTGTGTTTATTACTTTGCACGTGCTCTTCACCATGATTATTTGGGTGAAACCAAGACTAATTGATTTAATATGACTCATAGTGGTCGTTAGGGAGTGAGAAAATTGGTCTGAGTAGAAAGAGCCATGACAAAATTGTGGGAAATAGATGAAGATGATGCATATCTGGGGAGAAAGTACAGACCTTCCATTGTTTGTTGTAAAGGGAATGTGGGAAGTCACTGCTAAAGCACAGTGTCCTTGGTGGAAAATGAGTGATTATAACTCAGTTTATGGAAACTTGGACAACGTTCATTAAGGAGTAAAACAGGAATGAGATGAATAGGTGAAGAACTTGAGGGGAAGGGAGGTGGAGAAAAACCTACCACACCATGAAAGGGGAAAATGCACTTACAATATTTCATGTAATGTGCAAATACCACAAATTACTTAAAAAGTACAGGGGCACCTGGGTGGCTCAGTTGGCTGAGTATCTGACTTCAGCTCAAGTCATGATCTCACGGTCAATGACTTCAAGCCCTGTATTGGGCTCTGTGCTGACAGCTCAGAGCCAGTAACTTGCTTTGGATTCTGTCTCCCTCTCTCTCTGTCCCTCCTCGGCTCACACTCTATTCTCTCTGTCTCTTGAAAATGAATAAGTATTTAAAAAATTTTTTTAAAATACAAATACAGTTGTATCATTTTCATATAGTTGTGATAAGCTGTGTTTCTCAAAACATTTGGTCTGTAGTCACTAAGAGAATTTTGCAAGACTATTCCTTTACATATTTTTGACATTTATTTTTTCCACGATGTTAAATAGTTGCAAAAACTATAATTTTCAAAGTATCATGTAATCTATAGGTATGTTAAGTATTTCCTCAAAACATTGAAGTGGCAGATTCAGCTCATTTTAAGTTATGAAAAGCATTTGCAATATAATCTAATTGGTAAGTTCCCATCAAAAAACGAATTGTAAACTGATCCACCAATTTAGACATACTTGCTGTTAGAAAATGACTGACAATTATTGAATTTAAATAAATATGTTCGTGTGTGTCCTTATGATAAACACCCTGCACTGGACTGTAAGTGTTGGGCAGCCAGGGTAGCAAAGAGGCCAAGTTCACGATCGCAAAAGTACTGAGTCCTGATTTTGCCTCTTAGGAGTTTAGTGACCTCAGGCAAGTTATTTCATCTCTCCATGGCAATTGTTTCATCCCTAAAATAGGAATATAACAGTGCTTTTATCAGAAGGCTAATATTTATAGCATGCTTCAAACAAACTGTGAGTATTCTTTGTTTTTTAAATAAAAAATATAAATTGCAACTAACAGAAAGATTCAGTGTTTTGCCATGAGTTTGTCACATAAGTGAAATTAGGTAGCTTTGCTTTCAATAGTTTTTACTGAAGCTCTCTTTTCTTCGTATGTTGTACTCTTTTTTTCGCATCAAGGTTTATAATTCTTGCAGTTAACATTGATTTTCTTAGTATTCAATTTCTTAGTATTCTTCGCTTGCTTCCCGCCCCCACCTCACCCCAACAGTTGAGACTTACAAGGATGGAGAAGGAATGGAGCCATCCTCCCATAGCCAGCTCCTTCCAGATAGATTCCGTGATAAGCCCAACCAGAAGAAAGAAAACTTTGGTAATGGCTGTGACTTCAGAAAATCCTGAGAGAGACAACAGGGAAAGAAATCATGTGAGAGCCACATTCTGGTTCACAGATGTAAGATATTAATTCTCAGTCAAAATGCTCAGAATTTCTATTATATGAGTCAGAAGTTGCACATATTTACTTTCTATCATATAAATAATTTTTATCACCAGGGAAAGAAATTCAGTCAGACCTTTTCCTCCAAGCTATCTATCTTCACCAAGGTGGAGTTCTGGTCTAGGCAGTTATTTCTACTATTAGTCCACGTAGCCTCCTCATTTGTTGCAAAATAATAGCAGCTGTTTTGGTACCATTGCCACATCTTAGGGAAAGGATTGCATTTGTGGTCTGAAAAAGAAATGACACCCATTAACACAAATTAAATAATGCTGGAGTGACGGGGGGATATTTTAGAAACTAAATAATCGAACTTGACAATGGAGTCTGAGACCCAGCATTCTGAAAACATACTGCTTTAGGAGCCCATGAAAATGAAATAGCCCCTGATTATGGGTTGGGACAATGGTGATCAAAATTCTCTTTTCACGGCTCAGTCTTATGGCCTCAGAATTACCAGCTATACTTTGAGCTTCTTATAACATCAGGGTCACCTAAAAATAGTTCACAAATTAAGAAGCTCAAGTATCTAGATTGGTATCATCCCAAGGTGCTCCCCAAATTCACCTCTGTGTTTTCAAAAATATTAAATAAATTTAAATCTTTCCTGTCACCTGTAACTTTAATGCGGCATCATTAGGTTATTGGGTAACATAACTTTCCCATACTATGAGGTGGCACATGTGATCGGTGCAAACTGGGGCAACACGTTTGACCTGACAGTAGCGCCTGATTACCTGAAGTGTGAATGAACAGCTCTTGGCAGAGTTTGACGGCCATCTGTCCCTGCCGCTTCAATAGACTGGAGATCTGGGATTTGAGATATTCCTCCTTGGTGGGAAGATTCTTGTAGTTGCTCAGCTGCTGGGATAAATTATCTTGCCATTGGTGGATGATTTTTTGCAGTTGATTTAATCTCTCTGAATCTGAGTTAATTCCATTAGATGTCTGCAAAACTCCAAGACATAACAGGAGACACCGTCATATACCTTCTTATTCTCAGCCATAGATAATTCTTTCAACGCAGAAATATTTCTTACATCATGTAGTATGTATTAGTGCCTCCCAATAACTGAAGTAAGTTGGAAGAAGCACACACGATGCCTTTCTATTCCAAATTGTTTGGAGCTCATCCTTATAATTCTACTGAGACTTTAAATATGACTATACTTGGGGCGCCTGGGTGGCTTAGTCAGTTAAGCGTCCGACTTTCGCTTCGGTCATGATCTCGCGGTTCGTGAGTTCGAGTCCCGCGTCGGGCTCTGTGCTGACTGCCAGCTCGGAGCCTGGAGCCTGTTTCAGTCTGTGACTCCCTCTCTCTCTGACCCTCCCCTGCTCACGCTCTCTCTCTCTCTCTCCTAGAAATAAATAAAACATTTAAAAAAATAAATATGACTATACTTTTATTAAAATAATGAATTAATTATCATATATCTTTGATATTTCATATAAGGCAATGTCAGTCGTTTTGCCATTCATTTAGTGTATTTTTTTCTATTTGGAGTTGGTTCATGTAATTGTTGCTTACATAGGAACGGAACCCTTTAAGGCAATAGGTATGGTGTGCAGATCACTCATCAAAATTTTCTACATATTTGCTTTTTTGTTAATGCAGATTTTAGAGGCACCTGGGTAGCTCAGTCATTTAAGCATCTGACTCTTGATTTCGGCTCAGGACATGATCTCGTGGTTCCTGAGATTTAGCCCTGTGTAGGGCTCTGCAGTGACAATGTGGAGCTTCAGAGCCTGCTTGGGATTCTCTTTTTCCCTCTATCTCTGCCCCTCCCCTACTCTCTCTCTCTCTCAAAATAAGTTAATAAACACTTTTAATGCAGATTTTAATGCCACACTAGACCATTTCTGGCCCTGGGTCCATAAAAACTCTGCTCTTTTAATTAGCACTTAAGGTGATTCATCATCACAATAAATTTAAGAGTCATTGCACTAAAAGCACTGCACTTTAGAAAAATAAAAAGCCCTCACCAGTCTGTAGTGAACCAATGAATATGTGTCATTGCATCTTCATTTTTAAAATATACATCATTGTAGAAGAGCAACTTCTAACCCATAATACATGGCTATTGAATATTTGTTACTGCTGCTAGAACATATTTCTTACTAAAAGAGCGAGCTACCTCATTAGCTCCTATTTAAATGTCCAAATCGGTATGTCTAAATTCTATTTATCCATGAAAACTTCTATATGTTAAAATAAATAAAAGTAGCATGAAAGATACTAGTCTCATTCCGAAATAAACTTTCTTGTCTACAAGTCCCCTAAGAGGGAATAGCATGCCAACTCTCTACTCTGTCCATCATATCCTGAACAATACCCTACAAACTACATATTCTCAGGGTGTCCTTCTACTTAGTGTTAGTACAAGACTCTCTATCCTGTCCAACTCTGACTGCTCAAGGATGGGTCAGAACCAAGGGAATACTCTTTTTTTTGGTTATGGTGCTTGGGAGTAGAACTTCCATTGTTATGTAGAGGTGGTTCAACTTTCTCTATACAGGGTAAGTTGCCTCCAGTAACTTTTCCTCTTTTTTATCTCTTTTTCATTTATAGCATACCTATTTCTACACTAGAAAGGTCCTGAGTGAGCAGATTGAGCCACTCTTGTACTAAGTCTTTGGGGTGAATGAAAAGACATGCTCTTTCTTGAGTCCACCTCCCTTTGTTCCCTGCTTCTCACCATTGGGATAATAGGTGGATAGGTGTGTATGCAGAAAAGAGGCTCCCCATTCCAACCAATAAAGAGGAAAACAAACGTTGTCTTCATAATCCAGTCTAGTTTATTAAGAGAAAACAATGGATTTAGGGCAAAATCCTCATAATCATAAAGTCTGCCCCTTGGTTATTGATCTTAGAGACTTGGAAGAAGGAAAGAGATGTGATCATATGCTATAATCAAACCTGAATTTGCAGAGTTTACAAATGTGTTTCCTAATCACCTTTCATGGGGTTGATTAAAATATACTTACACACAATCCCCAAGGTCATCAGCCCAATCAGCAGCATCAAACAAAGAATTAACAGACTCAAGGCAGCCTGGCGCCATGTTGGGGAATGAGCTGGATACCCTGAAGAAAACCAACAGAGAAATTGCAGTTACACATGAGTTTTTAATTCTCCCAAACTTCCTAAACTTTCTCTGTTATTTCCCTCTTTACTTTCTAGAAAATGTCTAAAATGATGTGCAGTAAGGTCTCTACCATCAGTGCTCCAACACTTCTCTTCCCCACCATTCTCTTTCCCTTTAAGAGTGTCTCCTAGGGGCACCTGGGTGGCTCAGTCAGCTAGGTTAAAGACCTGACTTCAGCTCATGTAGGTTAAAGACCTGACTTCAGCTCCTGTCATGATCTCACAGTTTGTGAGTTCAAGTCCCGCATGGGGCTCTGTGCTGACAGTTCAGAGCCAGGAGCCTGTTTTGGACTCTGTGTCTCCAAATTTTTAAAAAAGAGTGTCTCTTAATTTTTAGGTTTGTGTTTCATCAAACACCCTTCTTTAAGTTTACTAAATGCATGTATGAGATGTGGTGAAAATGCTTCTCTGGATGATCCGGACAATAGGGAACACTTTAAGTTTTTGAGATGATAAAACCTCCCCAAGGCTAAGATTATTGTGGATTTTATTGTTGTCCATTATCTGTTCTGTTTAGCATCGGGTAGATAACGAATGGATATTGAAGGAAAGGCAAAATGAATGTGTAGTCTAACCTATCATATTTCTCAATTCGGATTCTAATGGCATCTAGCCCAATATTGTTTGATAGATCGATGCAAATTTCCATCTCCTTTCATCTCAAGGATTACAGTTATAATGTAAACAAACAAACAAAAATGTATAACCAGTTTTATTAGACCCCATGATAAGCCTATTCCCAACCTCTTTGCATATCGTCCTCAGACCACCTGCGCGTGCACGCGTGCACACACACACACACATACACACACACACACACACACACACACTTAAAATAAAAATAAATCCAAAGAGAAGAATGTAATTCCTATAAATCAGATGATTTGGGGCAACAGCCTAAATTGTCAACAGATTCTTGGAAACAAAGAATATAGTCTGATATACTAACAGGAATCTGGATTCCTGACCACAGAGATTTATATTTCTTCCAACAGGACATCAAGGAACTAAAGACCAGAACTGAGTTTGGACTCCACATACTAGTTGTAGGAACTTGGTTAAGCCATTTAGTTTTTTTCAGCCTCAGCTTTGCTAATATTATTCCACTTACTTCACAATTATATTTTGATTAAAATATGATATAATGCATATAAAATACTATACACATACTGTTATTGATCAATACTACTAGTTATACTGGAAATTTCCATTCTGTAAAAACAGGTTTTTTTTAAACTTCTAAAATAGAAATGACCTCTTGTCTATTTCTGACTCACTCATCTTCCCATTTGTCTCTTCAGTTATTTATACCTTTGAAAATAACACTTTCCTCTACCTTCTCTTTTTTAGAAACCTCCAATCTGACTTCTAGAAGAATATTTGCCTGGCATCTCTCACAAGATGTAAATATCAAGGACTTCACTTATAAAAAGGAATCCGTTATTCCCCAAATTCAGTTTCTCTCATACCCAAAATATGAATAACTATCACTATAGCACAGAGCTTCAAGAAACATAGCGATATCCCACATTTAAAGAGGTCTAGGAAGCCACATGTCCCCCCCACCCCCGCCCCACCGCCAAACTGGGAACATTCATTCTACCAGCGCATTCCACAACTTTATCTCCATCTTGGAGATTCCATAGCGCACTTCTCCTTAGCATCGAAATCAGAGCATTTAACATCTGTTCACCCCCACAAAGGTCACATCTTGCCGCCTCTGAATGCCTACCTCTTTTCCTTAGGTTATTTCTATCCTGGTTATTTCTTGCTCCAACAGAATCCTGAAATGTGAGTGTCGCATAAGTCACTTCTTCAGACATTGTAGAAGAAAGCACTACTACAAATTACTTAATTAATGTTTCAATATCTTCAGGCTCAAGAGCAGGATGTTCTTCTCAAGGCTGGGAGCTTTTATAAACACTCTACTGACCCAAGACACACCCCACTGCCTCTCTGTAAGGACAGAAAGACAATCAGTTTGTGTCTTTGCTTTTTGTAGGGAAAGTGAGAGAAGTAAAGTCTTCTCTTTAGAAATCAGAATAAAGAAGGTCTCAGTCTCTCTGTTCTTTCTGCACTGTTTCTTGTGAAGCAAAAGGGGGACTTGGAAGCAGAGTGGAAATGCTGGTTTCTGGGGGATTCCCATGATCCTCAGGTAGGGGCTGCTCTGAATGTTTCAATAAAGGGTCAGATTATCATGCTTTCATGTGCCAAAGGCCAGCTAACCCTGTATGAAGACATTGGACCTGGTTTATACTCTCTCATATCAGACACGAGTAAGACAGAAAAAGTTGTGTAGGTAAAGACCACCCACAACTGGTTGCTGTTTTAAGAAATACGTGTGTGTGTGTGTGTGTGTGTGTGTGTGTGTGTGTGTGTGTGTGTGACAGAGAGAAAGACAGAGATTGTGGAGAGGGGAGAGTGGCAGTATTAGCAGTGGAGCATAAAGAAGAAATTGATAGCTGTTAAAACTGTGTATGAATGGGAGCTCCCTTTGGCATGGCTAAATTCTGAACAGAACAATCCCTTGGAGATAACTAAGACTCAGGACAATATTTAAAAACAACTACTTGAAGTTTTGGGATAGTGAAACAAGCAGGCAGAATCTGGAGATTAGAAGGGCTGGCTCATGGTGTGGTACTTTTGTTCTTGTTTTTATTTTTTATTTTTAATGTTTTATTTATTTCTAGGAGAGAGAGAGAGAGACAGCGTGAGCAGGGGAGGGTCAGAGAGAGAGGGAGTCACAGGCTGAAACAGTCTCCAGGCTCTGAGCTGGCAGTCAGCACAGAGCCCGACGCGGGGCCTGAACCCACGAACCGTGAGATCATGACCTAAGCGAAAGTCGGATGCTTAATCGACTAAGCCACCCAGGCGCCCCCTTTTGTTCTTGTTTTTAATTTGGTTATTTCATTGACTTTTTAAATGTTTATTTTTGAGAGAGAGAGCATGAGTGGGGGAGAGGCAGAGAGAGGGAGACTCAGAATCTGAAACAGGTTCCAGGCTCTGAGCTGTCAGCACAGAGCCCGACGGGGGGCTCGAACCCACCAGCTGTGAGATCATGACCTGAGCTGAAGTCGGATACTTAACCAACGGATCTACCCAGCACTCCTATTTAGTTGGTTTTTACCCTGCAGGCAGCCAAAAGTCATTGCTATGGGCTAAATCTCCTAGAGAAAATATGCCATCTTTCAGGTCTGAAATGTTGAAGACTGGAGTTTGGGGCAACCGCAAGAACAAACAGTGCTGGGTACTCACATGCACACTGGATATGGGGAATCTCTAGAGCATCTTTACGCCTTGAAGTCTCTTTGAGCTACAAGTTGTATACAATTCATTTAAAAAATAACTTTATAAAATAACCTAGCTCTATCTTCTCTTCCTTAGGACTCAAAATGCCCTGAAAAGGTGTTTCCAGTAAAACTGAAGTAAGTGAGTAAACTCACTGCACAAGCATTTAACCATGATACTTTGTTTCAACAGCATCATATGAGCAATGAGGTGGACAATTTGTTATTATTTTTTTAGGTTTATTTATTATTATGAGATGGGGAGTGAGGGAGAGTTGCAGAGAGAGAGAATCCCAAGCAGGCTGTCAGCACAGAGCCTGATGCAAGGCTCTATCTCACCAACTGTGAGCTCATGACCCAAGCTGAAGTCAAGAGGCAGATGCTTAACCAATTGAGCCACCCAGGCACCCCAAAGTGGACAATTTTTATAGCAGTTATTATTGCTATTATTAAAGCAACTTATATGGTTGTTATTTGGAAGAACATGAGAGAAAAACAGCACATCTCACCTGCCATTGATCATTTAGTTAGTTGGCATCAGACTCTTCAAGGACTGCATTTACTTCTAATTCCATCATCACTTCTCATAAAAATTCACTAATCTATATTTAAAGAGTCAATTGTTGTTGAGAACCTGTGAAAAACAGAATAACAGCTCTCCCCCAAAGATGTGTATGTTCTCCTCCCCAGAGCCTCTGAATATGGTAGTTTCATGGCAACAGGGACTGCAGATGTGATGAAGGTTACATGAGCCCTTCAAAGTGGAGAACCTTTCCTAGATTCAGTCAGAGAGAGACATTGGTGGCTGAAGGTGGAGGAAGAGGGCCAGGAGCCAAGAAAGAGACAAAGGTAAGGAAACGAGTACTCCCACAGAGTACTCAGAAAGGAACACAACCCCTCTGACAGCCTTGATTTACCCCCGTGAGATCCATGTCAGACTTCTAACGCACTGAACTGTAAGACCATACGTTGTGTTCTTTAAGCTGCTATATTTGTAGAATTTGATAAAGCAGCACTAGGGAACTCACACAGAACTCAAAAACAAAATATTTGAAAGCTATATAGGAGCAAGGGAACTAAGAAATCTTTTCTAAAGTTTCCTTCGGGGTAAGAAGAAAAAGATTACATAACAATATGAGGGGGTGCTTTGGTGGAGGTTTTTGTTCTCAAATGGCTGAAGGACTGATCCAGAACCTTCAAGGTCCACCTCTGTGTGGAGATTATCTTCATCAAAGTTCTCTAGGATAAATTGCATGTATTTCGTGGGTGTGAATAAATATCCAATGTAAAGATAATTCTTCAAACACTTTTATATATGATCTCAAATATATACAAATGCACATGTATTTCTTGCTCCTGTTCTTTGTTTTCTTTCCAAAACAATGCAGTACTGAATCAAAAAAAAAAAAATCATTTGGAGGCTCTAAGTCATAATCAGTCAAACTCCCTGGCCAAAAATGTGGAAGTAAATAATAAATCTACATTTATGTTTACTATTCTATAACAGGTAAAGCCAGAGACCATCAATATGAAGAGAAGTTACATAAAAGAGATGATTACAAAAATGAAAACTCAGGATGTTTTTCTTTCTCCTCTGGTCTTTTGCTTTCACCAAATTTTGCAGACTGAGTTTTCATTTTCATTAGCCTGATTCTTTCATGCCTTCAAGTTCCCTAAGAAAGCATTTAACCTCTTACAGTATTATATGAAGTCATAGTTGGGTTTTAAAACAGTGATGAGGAATCCCTCTTGGTGGCTAATAATTTCTATAAGAAAAAGGATTGGGGCGCCTGGGTGGCTCAGTTGGTTAAGCATCTGACTCTTGGTTTTGGCTCAGGTCATGATCTCACAGTTGTTGAGATCCAGCCCCCTGTTGGGCTCTCTACTGACACCATGAACAACCCTGCTTGGAATTCTCTCTTTCCCTCTCGCTCTCTGCCCCCCTCCCCTACTCTCTCCCTCTTTCTCAAAATAGATAAATAAACTTAATAAAAAGAAAAAGGATTGGTACACACGTCCTGTACATTTTCTGCTATTATTCTTTCTTTCTCTTTCTTTCTTTCTTTCTTTCTTTCTTTCTTTCTTTCTTTCTTTCTTTCTTTCTTTCTTTCTTTCTTTCTTTCTTTCTTTCTTCCTTCCTTCCTTCCTTCCTTCCTTCCTTCCTTCCTTCCTTCCTTCCTTCCTTCCTTCCTTCCTTCCTTCCTTTCTTTTTCTTTCTGCCTTTCTTTATTTCTTTCTCTCTCTTTTCTTTTCTTTTCTCTTTTCTTTTAACTCTTTTTTGAACTCTTTTAAGGAGTTCAAAAAGCTCTGTATGCCTTCTATCTCTTCCTACTTTTCCTGAATTCACTTTAATCAGGTTTCCCCCCTCACGTTATATTTAAAAACACTTCTAAATCACCATCAACCTCCACATTAACCCATCTAATGGCTCTTTCCCCAGATTCCTTTTACGCAGCCTATCAGCGGTGTTTGATGTAATTAATTGTTCCCTTTAACGTCAAATTCTTCGGGGTGCCTGGGTGGCTCAGTCGGTTGAACATCTGACTTCGGCTAGGGTCATGATCTCACAGTTTGTGGGTTTGAGCCCCACATCGGGCTCTGTGCTGACAGCTCAGAGCCTGGAGCCTGTCTTTGGATTCTGTGTCTTCCTCTTTCTCTGATCCTCATCTGCTCACGTTGTCTTTCTCTCTCTCTCAAAAATAAATAAAACATTAAAAACAACTTAATGTAAAATTCTTCTCCGAAATACTCTGTTCTACAGGACACCATTATCTTGTTTTTCTTTCTACTTCGATACCTTATACTCTCTCAGATTTGCTGGTTCCTCTTTATCTGATTTCAAAATACTGCTGTGGCCCAGAGTTCAGTTCCTGGCCCTCTGTCCTGTTTGTGCTCATCCGGTAATATGGTAACCATGCATAGGTGATCTCCAAATGTATATCTTTCGGCTAGGCTTTGATCACCAGACTCATATATATGATTGAAGATTTAGAGTATTTATTTAGATATGCTACAGAAGTTTCAAACTTAACACCTCAAAAAAATAAACAATGTTTTCTCAGTTGAGTCACTGTATGCTTCTCCATTTCAGTCAATGGAAACTTCACTTAGCCCAAAACTCAGAGTCAACGTTGGCTTCTCATGTTGCTCTCACATGAATTAGATTCATCAGAATATACTGTTCATTGTGAAAATAAGGGGAGGCAGGTATTAAATATGGAAGTATCATTGATTTGGGATTACACAGATATTCTAGCTCCATTCTTCAATGATCATTCCATTTCCAAATATTATGTGCACATTTCAGAGAACACTTTTTTTATTTATTAAAAAACATTTTTTTTACATTTATTTATTTTTTGAGAGACAGAGTGAGACAGAGCATGAGCGGGGAGGGGCAAAGAGAGGAGACATAGAATCTGAAGGAGGCTCCAGGCTCTGAGCAAGCATTCAGCACAGAGCCCGATGTGGGGCTCGAATCCACCGACTGTGAGACCATGACCTGAGCCAATGTAGGAGGCATAACCAACTGAGCC